GCCCAGTGTCATTGTAGAAAAGACTGTCTCTCCTCCGCCCCCTGCTGTCACATCCCTGTTCAGTCCCATGTCAGCGCAGGCTTGCGTCTTCCGGACCCGTTCTGTCCTGTCGCTGTGTCCCCTCCTGCCCGGACCCGGTCCCACCGCCGGCTGGCTGTTCGGTGAAGACAAGTGTGCTGTGACCCTTTGTGTCATCACCCAGACTTTAGAATCGTGTTGTCACATTACATAGACACAGAATTACACTTACACACACACACACAACACACACACACACACACACACACACACCCTGTGGTGATTCAGCCCGGAATTGTATTTTCTTTCTATATTGTATTTCTTTCTCACTAGTCCTATAGTCTGTGAACATGGTATAACTCTAGATCCACTTTCATATTTTCTGTCCAGATTAGAAATGGCATTTCAGCCGGCACTGGTTTGGCTCAGTGGATAGAGCATCGGTCTGCGGACTGAAAGGTCCCGGGTTTGATTCCGGTCAAGGGCATGTACCTTGGTTGCAGACACATCCCCAGTAGGGGGTGTGCAAGAGGCAGCTGATCGATGATTCTCTCTTATCGATGTTTCTAACTCTCTATCCCTCTCTCTTCCTCTCTGTGAAAAATCAGTAAAATATATTTAAAAAAAAAAAAAAAAAAGATGGCATTTCACCTCTGGGTAAAGTGACAGTTCGGTTTCTCCTCTTCACTCCGTGGCCTCCATGCCTCGGTCTTGCTGACAGATCTCAGGGCCGCGTTGACAGGAACGGAACAGCAGGCTGGCACTCGCTCCCTCCAGAAGGAGCGCCTTTGTCTGCAGCGCAGTTAATTAGAGCGTGTGCCTGGGCTTCTGTTGACACCTATTTTTAGGTTAAAGAAGGCCCCTCTATCCTTTGGTGCCTCGGAGTGGTTTTGTTTTGTTTTAAATTAAGAGTGGGTGTTAAATTTCATCCAATCTGTTGTCCTCAGTATCTGAGATGATTTTGTCCTGCACAGTTAACGTGGTCAGTTATAAACTTGGATTTCTAATATTAAAGCAGCCTTTAAGGCAAGAATACATGTCGGTCATGTGACATGTTTCTGGAGCCCTTTTAGTCAGCACCCGGTGTTGGTTCCCGTGTTGATACTGTCCTCATTCTGATGGGGTCGCAGTTCCGCTGGCTCAGAAGGCTGGCGTGGAGCCTCCGCCCGCTTTCAGTAAGCGTTCTCTGAAGAGCTGTGTGGACTGGAATTGCTCTCTCCTTGAATGTGAACTGGCCACAGTCTGGTCTGGGGTTTTCTTTTTGGGAAAATATTTGACTACTGATTCAATTTCCTTAATGGTTAGAGGACTCTTCAGGTTTTTCCTGAATATTTTACGGAATTTCTTACAGAGTCAGTTTTTGTTAGTTATGTTCTCGGGTTTTGGTTATGTTATTTACATTTTCAAATACTTTGGCCAAATATTATTTAAGATATTCAGATATTATTTGTAATAATCTTATCATTTTCTTTTTTTTTATGTTGCAAAATCTATGGCAGCATCCTCCCTTTTTATTTTATTTTTTTAATATATTTTATTGATTTTTTACAGAGAGGACGGGAGAGAGATATAAAGTTAGAAACATCGATGAGAGAGAAACATCGACCAGCTGCCTCTTGCACATCTCATACCGGGGATGTGCCCGCAACCAGTGATGCCCTTGACCAGAATCGAACCTGGGACCTTTCAGTCCGCAGACTGACGCTCTACCACTGAGCCAAACTGGCTTCGGCTGCATCCTTCTTTTCATTTCTGAAAAGTTTTCTCTGTTATCTGTCCCCTTTCTCTCTTTTGATTTGTCTTCCCAAAGGCTGGTCAGCATTGAGCTTCCTGATGAAGTCAGTTTTGGGTTTGTTGATATTCTCTTCTTTTTTATTGTTTTCAATTTTAGTAATTTCTTTCTCTTCATCTTTAATTTTCTTCATTTTGGGGTGTTATTTTGCTATTTTCTAGTTTCTGGAGAAGAATGCTTACTTAGCTTATTTATCTTCATTGCTTATCTTTCCCAGCTTATGCATTTTAAAGCTACAAATTGCCCTTCTCCATTTTAGTTGCATCTTAAAAGTTTTAGTGTGTAGTATTTTTGTTAACATTCTGTTTCAAATATTTTATTTGCATTATTTCTTTTTTGTCCCTATGGGTTATTTAGAACTATCTCTCAGTTTTAAACTATGAGGTGTTTTAATTCTTTGGGGGTTTTATTTTTAGTTTACAGTGAGCATTGTCCATGTATTAATTCTTTAAATGTGTTGAGGTTGTCATTTCCTCTGTTATCTGTTGGAATATTGTCTTCCAGCATGCAGATATCCTTGGGAAGACTACATATGCTGCAGATTTTTAAATTCCCTTTTTATTAATTAAATTCATATATAACTACGAAGTAGTTTAGGAGCTTCTGATAAGCTTGAGGTAACACTCAGACCATATTGGATTGCTGGAATCACAGGGGTTCATCCAGAATTAATTCTTTATAATTAATTGTGTGACTTGATCAAGTTACTGATAACTTGTGGGGGTCTTGGTTCCTCGTGCTCTCTAATGAGTATAAACATACCTGTCTCAACAGTAAGATTCTTATAAGGATTTACACATCAAATACTCAAGGGTTCCATTGAGAGTCTGACTATAGACCCAAACATGTTTTAATTTGATTTTGAAAATCTGACTTTTTAAGCCGTTTGTCACGTGTATATTATGTGCAGGTAGAGAGGGTGGCCAGGTGAGCATTTAGTGTGCTCCCTACTCCACGCTCAGCACTCAGTGAGCTCATAGCTCACACCTATGGTAGCTCTGTCAGCACCATCCGCTGGTGAGGACATGCATCTGACGGAAGTTAAGTAACTTGTGCAGGCTCACACTGAAAGTTGGGAATCGAACTCAGGCCGTCTTTTTTCGTGTGTCACTAAATAGTTTTATTTACTGTTATTCTTTTAAGTAAAGTTTTATCTTTCAGAGCAGTTTTAGGTTCACAGCAGAATAGAGAAGGTACAGAGATTTCTCATGTGTTTCTTGCCCCCACACTTGCACAGCCTTTTCCACCAACATCTGGCACCAAAGTAGTTGTTCATTTGTTACAATTGATGAGCTTCCAGTGACATATCATGTCACCCGGAGTCTGGAGTCCCATGATTTACTTTCGGTTCACTCTGGTTGCAGTACATTCTGTGGGTGGGGACAAATGTGTCATGATATGTATCCACCACTGTCCTATATAATAAAGAGGTAATACGCAAATTGACCATCATACCCTCATAAGATGACTGCCTACGACCAGGCCGGCAGGGGGGGTTAGTGAGGGATGATCAGAGACTGAACAAGCAGGCTGTGTGGGGCAACCAGGCCATTAGGGGATTAGTGAAGGACGACCAAATGACTGAACAGCAGGCTGCCTGGGATGACCAGGCTGGCGGGTGGGCCATGAGGGGTGACCAGGCTGGCAAGGAAGCAGTTGGAGGTGACCAGGCCAGCAGGGGGGATAGTTGGAGGTGACCAGGCCAGCAGGGGGCATAGTTGGGGGCGACCAGGCTGGCGGAAGCAAGAGGTGCAGTTAGGGGCTGGCAGAGGTGGGGGGTGCAGTTGGGGGTAACCCAGCAAGCAGGAGGGGGGCCAGGCCGCCCAGGGGGTAGTTAGGATCGGACCTAAACTGGCGGTCGGATATCCCCCAAGGGGTCCCGGATTGGAAAGGGTGCAGGTTGGGCTGAGACCCCCTCCCCATCCTTCCGTGCATGAATTTCGTGCACCGGGCCTTTAGGGTGTGATAAAGGACAGTGTCACTGCCCTGAAGTCCTCTATTTCCCACCTACTCCTCCCTCCCTCCCCGAGCCCCTGGCAACTGCTGATCATTTCACCGTGTTCATCGTTTTGCCTTTTCCGGAACGTGGTGTAGTTGGAAACATACACGATGCATGTGTGGGCTTCGTCATGGAGTCACATGCAGTGATGTTTCCTCGGCCCATAGCTCATTCCTTCTTAGCTCTCATGCTGTTCCACTGTCGGATCACCTGTGAAGGATACCTGGGCAGCTTTCCAGTCGGGCAGTTACGGAGAAAGCTGCTATAAACATTGGTGTGCAGGCTTTGTGGGACATAAGCTTTCGGTTCCCTTAGGCCAATGCCGAGGAGCAGATTGCTGGATTGCATGCTAGGAGTATGTTTTGTTTAGTAAGAAATCACCAAACTGTCCCCAAGCGGTTGCACCGTGTACATCTCCCCAGCACCGAAGGGGAGTGCCTGCTGCTCCGTCCTCACCAGCACCGTCGTCAGCGTTCTAGACTTTGGGTGGCATTCTGCACTTTTATTTGATAAAATATTCAAACTCATCAGCAAGGTTGTCAATAAACCATGTTCATTTCTTTTAAACATACTGATGTTTTTGTTTGTATTATAATTGCCCAATTTAATTGTGCATTTTTCTCTTATTTTGTCAATCTTTCTTTTACTTACATATTTGAGGCCATGTTATTAGGTCATTTCGATTTAAAATCGTTATATCTTCCTGGTGAATTAACTCATTCTGAAATGACTTAATAAAAATCTTCACTAATGCTTTTTGCCTTAAGCATTAGCCTTAAGGTTTATTATGTCTGATTTTATATGGTCTGTGATGTTCTTTAGGATGGTATTTGCCTAGTGTATCTTTTTCTTTTTTCTTTTTTTTTTTTACCATGCTTCATAAAAACTCTAGTCTAAAAGTAACTTTTTAAAAATTGGAGCACATATCCCATAGTTAATTTAATTACAGGTGTATGTGTTTATATTTATAATCTTTTCCAGAAGTTAGTTAACTTGTATAGCAATTGTTTTGATAAGGCATTTAATGTTAGTGTCATGTGCCGTTTCCTAGGCCAGAGACCTTCATAGTTAAAAGAAGCTAACAGAAACTTCTTATGTAAAAACGTTGGGAATATTTCTTATTAAGATGAATTTATTCATTATGTTAAAATTTTTAAAAAGCATACATCTTTTTCACTCTCAAATTCTCAGCTTTCCGCTGTGGCCTGCAGTTCTTAGGCAACATTGCCTCACGGAATGAAGAGTCCCAGGCCATCGTGTGGGTGCATGCTTTCCCGGAACTCTTCCTGTGAGTATATTGCTGAGTTTTTCTAATTTCTGAGAAAATTGTGGTTATATCATTCCATTTACATGAAGCTCGAAAGCAGGAAAAACGAACCTTTGCTCATAGAAATGAGGATAGTGGTTTGGGTTCATTATCCTCATTTGAACCGAGCCAGACTCTGGGCTTCGCAGACGTTCTGCATCCTCACGGGCAGCTGCGTGGCTGTATTCATTCCGTCTAAAATTTTGATTTGTGTCTTTTGTTGTATGTCAGTTTCACTTTAAGAAATTAAAAGTTTGGTTAAAATGAGAAATACTGTCCTTAGCGGATACTGTAATTTACAAGAAAAGGCCATAAAACACTGAGCTGTGGGCAGTGGGTCATCACTCATGTGTGCACTGAGCACTTCCTGTGCGCGGCCAGGCTGGCCGGTGTGAGAACGGCAGTGTGGGCTCCGCCCGCCCCCAGCGTGGTCGGGTACTTCTCTGGGTGACCTTCTCCTCTGCATGAGCAGCTCCGCTAGCTCATCACAGTGGAACGCTGCTACAAAGGGGAGCAGTGCTGGGGAGGGGGGAGAGGAGGAGCATGTCTGGGAGTCGCTGGCTCCTCATCCCGCTGTGCTGCTCTGAGTGGGGCGACTTCGGTGTGGCGACACGGAAGCGGAACTGCTGCTGTGCCTGTGCCCCGAGCTGCTGTGCCCAGCCCCGGGGCACGTCGCTGTCTGTGTTTGGGCAGATGCGGGAACTGGAGCTCAGCCCTGATAAACGTAACCCCCTCGCTGCCTAAATCCTTCCCTAGCTGCGTACATGTTTCTGGATCCTTGTAGAGTTATGGTGCCCTGAGTATAACTGTCACTCTAAGATAAGTAGAGTAGAAGGCATATATATCTCTTATCTGTATGATTAATAATAATTGAGCTTAGGTGGAAGGAAAACATTGTGAGACTCATGTTACAGGAGTATAATGCTAATAATTTCTCCAGAAGAGTCTTACAAAGTTTAAGTGAAAAAATGAAATCCTGCCACATGCATGCCCCATGACGTAATTGACGAGAGCAAAACTAAGACCTTCCCAGGATCATGGCCGATGAACCAGGGCGTACAGTGAGGCTTTGGACCTACATTCCATTTCCTGCCGTAGACCACCTTCCCCTCAGACAGTGTGTTCTTCATGGCCGCTAATGGATACTTAAGTTGAGACTAATCTTACATTGGCCTTTTCTGCAGTAAATAATGTACTTGTTTCAAAGTGTTGTAATTCTTTATTAAATTCTTAAAAATCCAGTATGGACTGAATTTGTTATTGAGATTGTTATTGTTTATTTGCTCAATCGTATTTTATCATGTTAAATTGGACTAACACTTTCATTTCTTTATTTGGAAGGTCTTGCTTAAATCATCCAGACAAAAAAATTGTTGCCTACTGTTCAATGATTTTGTTCACATCCCTTAATTCTGAAAGAATGAAAGAACTGGAAGAAAACCTCAATATTGCAATCGATGTCATAGAAATTCACCAAAAGCAGCCTGAATCAGAATGGCCGTGAGTATCATTTTAGGAATTAGATTGCTTAGGAACATTCTGACAGATCACTTTCCTAATAGAGATTTTAAGTAAAAATTTGAATTATAGTAATTGGACAGTAAGTTAAAATGACACATGTTGACAAAAGAAGAGAAGTTCCTCAGCAGCCGCCGGAGGCTTTGTGAGAGGGGAGTGAGGTTTGAGCAGGTCCTTGAGGGGTGACAAGTTTTTAAGGGGTGAGGAGGGTGAGGGCACTCCGTCTGTGAACTGCAGCTGCTGCGGAGCGTGTGGTCAGACGGCTGCGGTGCAGTGGGTGCTCCCTTGAAGGTCAGTGGCCAGGACGGGCCCTGTGGGCAGCGCTCAGAGAGAGACTCACTGTCCTGTCACACTGGTGGTCGGTGAGCACGCTCAATGTCATTTCATTCAGTTAAATAAACAGAGGCTTGTTTCATGGCCCACACCGGGCCTGTCGTGGAGGGTGCTCCGTGTTTGAAAAGAGCACGCGTCGTTTCTGATGGAGTTGGCACAACACTCCGCTAGGTCTGGTGGCTCAGTGTTCTGTCTGCTGTGCCCTGACTGTCTGCTGTGTGTTACTCATTACTGAAGGATTGCTGCTTCTCCTCAGTTCTGTCTGGTGTGCTTCACTCACTCAGCCTGTGGCGGCAGGTCCATAATTGCTATAAAGTCTGTAATTGCTATGTCTTCTGAGGAATGGGCTCTTGCATCATCATAAACTCATCAGACATTTCGTTGTTTTTCTTTATTAGCGTCCTGTTTTCTTTAAAATCTTCTGTTTTCCACATAGCGGATCAGTTTGTCTTGGGCCGGGAGCCTCGAGTTGCCAGCCATCCCACTTGCATTTCCCAAGCATGAACTTTCCCAGTTTGGCCTCTTTAAGTGTGAACATTACTGTTCTATTGAAGGTGTACGGCACTGTAAAATAATTTCTATGTATGGGCATTTATTTTATTTGCATTGCCACTTGCACACAAACAGAAGTTGGTTCATAGATAATTGTTATCGTGCTGGACTTCAAAAACCTCCCTCAGTCACAGAAGTGTTTTCACATGACAGGGAATCATTAGTCAGGTTATTAACGGACATTTTCTGTAGTCTAATTCTGTTTCATCTGGTAAGTATCTTGGATCTATATTTTATGTAAATATTTTCAAATATATTTTTTATTGATTTTAGAGAGGAAGGGAGAGGGAGAAAGAGAGGGAGGGAGGGAGGTAGGGAGGGAGGGAGGGAGAGAGAGAGAGAGAGAGAGGGAGGGAGGGAGGGAGGGAGGGAGGAAGGGAGGGAGGGAGAAATATGGATCGGCTGCCCTCCTACGTGCTCCCGTGGAGGATGGAGCCTGCAACCCTAGCATGACCGGAATCAAACCAGTGACTTCTTGGTGCTTGGGACGACACTCAACCAGTTGAGCCCCACTGACCAGGGCAATCTATATTTTAACCATCTGTAATTTTTTAGCAGCGTGGAATAAAGGGGAAAAGATCGTAAATGGCAGAATGTAAGATCTACTTCAGGACAGTTCCAGTTAGAGTTCTGAAAGGTCACTAGCGGGGCTGAGACAAGGAGGGTGGGCATTGGTAGCTAGCTGTCTGCTGTACGGTCTCTGAGTGACGTGAGCAGAACTCTGTATTTGGTAAACAAAACGGGACCACAGGTACCCAGAGATGTCCAGCAGGGTGGCTACTTTCACCGCTCAGTATGAGCCCAGCCCTGGATGTTAAGAGAAAAAACTTTTTGTCCTCCCACCTCGCAGCATGCGAGAACATCCACAGGCATGAACTCGCCCAGCTTGGCCTCTTGAGTACCATTGTTGCTGTTGTATTGAAGTTACACCTAATTTTAAAATTCTGAGAGTGATGTTTTACAGGGAGCACAAAAGGACATGTGTTAGAACTCATAGCTTAGTATCTTTTCTTGGAAAAGGACAAATGTACGGTTTCCGTAATCGGGGGTCTTTTTGTTTGGGTTCACACAGGAGCGGAGGCGAAGAGGCCTTGCGCTCTCGGTTGAATGATTGGGATAGCAATAATTATTGCTGGTGGCGTGCTCCTCTGGCAGTGCTGCTTTCTCTGCTTGTTGGTGTGAAAGATGTGCTTATGCTCAGACAGCCCTGGATGAGTCAGTCCGAGGCTTGAAGCTTGGCCTTTGAATCTATCTGGACCTGACAGCCCACCAATGTGCGTTACTACCGTGTTTCCCCGAAAATAATACCTAGCGCATGGAAAGATAAGACATCCCCTGAAAATAAGACCTAGCACAACTTTGGGAGAAAACATTAATATAAGACACTGTCTTATTTTCAGGGAAACAGGGTAGAGGGGGAAGTGGGGAGGGGTGGCATTGCGGAGTGGAGAGCGTGGGGCGGCCACGGGCTGCCCTGGGCTGAGGGGTGCAGTGTGTCGGGTCTTGTCCTGTCGCTGCCATCCCGGGAATTATTTTGCCCCCACGGACAGATGAGAGCCGGAGGCCCACGCAGGTGCGTGTCCGGCCCCACCTCCTGGCTGTGCCCAGCGCCGCTGGGAGGAGCAGCTCGGGAGGAGGCCGAGTTGAAAGGTGAGTGATGAGCTCTCCAGTTTGGCCTCTTTCAGAACAAACTTTCTTTCTGTTGAACCTGCGGTGTCACCACAAACATGAATTTATAACTGAGAGTGGAGGATTACTTTTGGGTCATATTTGGGTTATCTAGTTGATTTATTTTGCATGACAGAGTTTCACTCCCAGATTGCTATCTCCTTTGCTCAAGGGATGTTTCTTGCCTTTCGGACATAAATTTCACTACTTCCTTCGCTATAAGCTATTAGGGAGATAAATGTAATTATCTTCCCCGTCGAGGTTGGACTCCGCTGCCCCTCTGTTCTCCTGAGCACTCTCCTCTCAGAGCGCCCCTGTCCGGGAGGCCGGGCGCGCCTTCTGGCAGGACGCAGCGCTGTGGCTTCTGGCGGCCTCAGCCGGATGACCCTGGCATGTGACAGGCCTGAGCGGGTCCTGAGGCTTCTGAGTCCAGCTCAGATGGCAGTGCGCAGAGAGAACCCGGGACCGCCCTGGAGTCTCCGGCTTTGTAGGCACAGTGGGCGCGGGGCTGCCAGACCGGCAGTGCGGGCTCGTCGTCTCCCCTTCCTCTGCCCTGTGTCACGCTCAGGCGCCATGCCGCCCGCATTGCGAGCGCCTGTTCTTTATCGGCCCGAAGATGGCATGGCCCGCGGCCATCTTCAGCCGCCTTCTCTGTCATGCTCATTCCCGGGCGACCTTGCCTAGTGCCACAGCTTAAGATTCCTTTCTGAGTTGATAATTTCCAAATGTAGTGTCTGGCCTTGACCTCTGGCCAGAGCTCCTTCCCCTGGCTTGCCTGTAGCGATGTCTCACACCCAGGGAGACCTCAGTCCCTCCCTCGGAGCTGCCATTGCTCCCGTCTTCACTGAGACCCCCTCCCTTTGCACCTCGTGCTGAGGTGCTGAGGCCCGAACGTGAGTGTTGGTCTTGCTTCTCTTCCTGTCACTGCCGCACGCACTGGCCCTCTGCAAGGCCCTGCTGCACAGCCTCTGCTCGGCAGCACCTCCGGACAGACGCTGCGGGACCTGCTCTCGCCTTGCCGCCCGGCCGCAGGGGCTTCGGGAGACCCTCTGGGGCTCCAGCACCGGAGCCGTGGGAGTAACTGCCGTGTCCGCTCCGGGCTGAGTTCATTGTACTTCCGGCCGTTTTGTCTCCCCGCTCCTTCCCGCTTCTCTCGCTGCTTCTCTGTGAACTGCCTGAGTTTGTTCTCTCCTGAATCCTGACACCTGCCCTCCCTCTGTGCTCCTCCCCTGCGTGGCGTGCTCCTCCCCTGCGTGGAGTGGCAGGGCCTGCGTTTATAAATATTCCTCTCAGCACACAGCCGTACTCATTAGCTTGTGTCTTCATTGCCTCTGGCTGCTTTCACGCCACCACGGCAGACGGAGGGGCAGAGACTTGGCCCCGTGGTCTCCCATGGTGGGCGCCAGCTCTCGGGGAGAAGCACTGCTGTGTGTGCTTGTGGGAGGAGTTGGTGGTGGTGGTGTCCTTGGCCTCCAGTGGCCTCAGGCTTGTCTGCTTCTCGTGCCACCGAGAGTCGCCCAGAGGACGAGCTGGTCCTCGCTGGAGCCCTGGGTGGTCCCCGTGCGCGCACGGCTGTGGACGCTGCCCCGCAGTCTGGGCTTCTCACGGCGTCTGCACGCAGCTCTGATCTGGAGTCGCATGTCAATGCAACTTGGGATGGTTTGTGTGCACGTTTCTGTGAAAGCTGGAATCCTCTAGGGTGTAAGTGAAAGCTTTTCTTTGTCGCCTGGCTGGCACTGTGCGGAGAAGTGTGGGATTGCGGAGGTAATCTCCAGGAGGCCAGCCCGCCGTCTGTGGGGTGCGCGTGGCCCTTCAGGCTCCTGTCCTGGCCGGTCCGCCTTTGTCCAGCGGGTCCCGGGCTCACTCCGGGGAGCTTTCAGAGCTGTGCCTGCGCCCCGCTGGCAGGTGTGGGTCTGTCTTGAAAGGAAGTTCGTTATTTGAAGCAGGTGAGGGACACGAGGGGATGGCAGACACCCACCAGGACTCAGTCAGTGTCTGATGCGTGAATCGTTTTCATTGTTCTGCTTTCAAAGGGCAGTGTTTCCTTCCTCTTACTTGGCTGGGCTGCATTCTGAGGTGGTTACTAGCAGCTGGAGAAACAGGTGGGTCCCGTGTCCAGTGGCCGCTGCCGGGGGTGAGGTCTGAGACCGAGGCCCGGCTCTCTGCAAGTGTCCGCGCTTCTCTCGGGAGGCGGGCGAGGGGGGCAGAAACACGCGTGCACTGGCCTTGCCCGGCGGCACTCAGGCCCAGCTGGTGCCAGCCTGTCAGAGGGAGCTCTGCCCGGGCCGTCGGGCTGATGGGCGCTGTGTGTGGGTGCTTCCGGGAGCCCTGAAATGGCTGAGTGTGTGGCAGCGTTGGCAGCTTCGCCCGGTGGCTGGGGAGCCGCTGTGGGTGAGTTCCCGGGTCCCAAAGCAGCAGAGGGCGGCATTCATTTCCAAGAGCGTGTTTACATCAGATCCTTGTTCAGCCAGTGAGCGGTGCGAACATTTTCTAGGCTTTTTGCAGTCAATGAAATGGATTTCTATGTTACAGTAAGCTTTGACATTGTAGACTTGTGGATGGAAATGGCGACAAGTGGCTCTCATTTTCAGAAAATTCCCTCAAACGCTGACTTTAGGGTGACCTCCTCAATGACAGAGTCACTGTCCCCGGTCCTTTCCGGTGCTCCCGATGGACAGCTGGCCTAGCCGCCTTCTACCGGGCTATCAGCACCGAGCACGGACCGTGGTCCATCTCTTTGTAGCTGGTCTCATACTTCAGAGCCAGCTACAGACGGGAGAGATGAGGGAGGAGGGAGGGACCTGCGTGCGCTTTGGCTGGCAGCCAGGGTGGAAACTGTAAAACTGTGGTCAGTGCTGTGCCATCAGCAAGTTGCTTTGTGAACACTGGTGTTCTGTAATTACATTTCAGTGAGGACTTTCCCTATTTCACTGCGCTCTGCCTCCATCTGCCTGGGGTCCACTCTGGCCCGAGGCTGAAGGTAGTGGTGGCAGGGAAAACAGGCCCCAAAGCGCCTGCAGCGGAACTGAGGGGAGAGTCCAGCTTTTCTGTTTGTGAAATGAAGATGGATTTCTTGGTGCCCCTTCCGCTCTGACTTCTGCCTCGGGGAGAGGATGTGTTTGTGACCCTCCCTGAGGCGGTGTGTCCTCCTCTGTCTGCACATTCGTGGAGGACGACCGGACCTTCCTCACAGTCTCTGAGAGTGTCCTTCACACGTTGGGTTGTAGATTAGTGGGACCCTGCCTCCTGTGACAGAATCACCACCACATTTCTGCATTTACAGAAATAGTTCTGCAGAAAAATTAATCACAAGTTAAAGTGTGTGATTAGCAAAGATGGAGCGTGATTGAGTCTCTCTGTTGTGAAAGTTTTCACCTGTGGTTTCTCTGGAATCGGTATTTGGTAAGAAAGTAAAGGCAGCCGAAACCGGTGTGGCTCAGTGGTAGAGCGTCGGCCTGCAGACTGAAAGGTCCCAGGTTCGATTCAGGTCAAGGGCATGTACGTTGGTGGCAGGCACATCCCTGGTGGGGGGGTGCAAGAGGCAGCTGGTCGATGTTTCTCTCTCATCGACGTTTCTAGCTCTCTCTCTCTCCCTTCCTCTCTAAAAAATCAATAAAATATATTTTTTTAAAAAAGAAAATGAAAAAAAAAGTAAAGGCAGTGAATTTTGACTGAAGATAGAGAATTTATGCAGCACCTGGCGAGGAGAGTGCATGTGTTATATTTGAAGAAGAAGAATGAGCATCTGCCACAGAAAAACTTCCGCAGAGTCGATAGCCACTTACACGGCCCTTTCCAGTGGCGGCAGGAGCACTCCCTCCCCTTGCCCCGTGGACCGCAGAGGCGGCAGAGCAGGTGTCTGGGTTCCTTTTCATGTGAAGTGACAGCGTGCGGTGGTAGCTGATGTGCTTCATCCTGCTATCCTCTGAGAGCCGCGCTTTATTTGTTAAGAAGGAATTCAATGACTATGACTGTAAATATATTGACTGTCTACAGCCACTTGGATTGCTCTGGCCTTGGAATAGACAGTGTGTTCTTCAGTTCTTCAGTCTTCAGATGCCCTCTGGCAACCACGACTCAGAACTCATTAATAAGCCGCTCCGTCTTGGAGCTGTCACAGTGGCACTTTGAAGAATATGCTTCTAATCTGTGCCCGGGGCTGAGCACATTGATCTCTGAGTTGGGGTTCGCGCGGCCTGGCAGTGAGGATGTTTTCTTGGTAACCTGAGCGCCTTCCCCGAGGAGATAAGGGAGCCAGTGTCAGTGCTGCGCGCTGGCATGTGCTACTTCTCGGTTCTGTTAACACTGAGCTTCTGGCTAAAACAGCTAACATGTTTCTGTCTATTCCTGAGCGTGTAGCTAGATCCATTCGCTGTTTGACTCCGGTGAAGTGTCTTCCTGCCTCAGCTTTGACAAATGTGAGCAGGCCTTGCTCCCAGCTGGCAAAGCGGGATCGGCTCAGTAAACGTCTCAGAAATAAAACTGGAGAGAAATATTTTGAGAGCTTTAATTTTCCTTTAGCTGCTAATAGAAAATAGTATGTGAACCTCTGAACACATCTTAAGATGACAGCTAGTCCGGAATTCAATGAAAAGGAGTGCTTTTATGTGTAAGAGACGCCTATCACGTTGATAAAGCCCTGTTTGACTATGTTTTGGTAACCAAACGTTTTTCTCCTTTTTTCTTAGGTTCTTGATTATTACAGACCATTTTCTGAAAAGTCCGGAATTGGTGAGAGCCATGTATGCCAAAATGAGCAATCAAGAAAGGTAACCCCAAAACCAGTGTGGTTTTGAGTCTTTAGCATTCCATATAGGGTATCCTGTACACATGACTGGAAACGGTGTGGTTTCTTAGTTGGCACAGCATCTCTAAATACATGTTTCTGTGTCAGTAATGGTTTTAAATTGGCTGGTTAACATTACAGCCTGGCCACAGCAGGCAGTGGTGAGCGCGGGCTGCCGAAGCCAGGTTGGCGCCATTGTCCGGGAGCCATGTTCAAAGCTGCCAGGGCAAAGGTTGTGCTTGCGCCTGGCTTTATCCTGGGAACTCACAGCCAGAGGCTGGCACTGTGTGTGCGAAGGGCGCACACTGTCCTCCTCACTGACACGGTAGTTTGGGGCACACTCTCCAGGAGGTAGTTGCCGGTCGGTAATTCAGACCCAGGAAGCCGGTGCCCGCCTGCCATCTCTGTTGCAGGGCAGAGCAGAGAGTGCCCCGAGAGCGAGCCGCCCCTGCCTGCCTGGCCATAGCAATCCTGTGTGCCTGTGGTCAGGTTTTTATCATGTTTGGATTCAGTTCCCTGACCTATAAAATTAGAGGATTAAACACAGTGATTCACAGTTCTCTTTCCATTCCAATAGGATGTGTTTTTCCAAACCTTATTGGAAATGTTGCCTTAGGGAAATAAAACTTACTGAGAAATCTGATGATCAGAAACTGATATAATGGTTAAAAACTTGAAAAACGTTCCTCTCTTGGTTGTAGTCACAGTTTTTATTCCTGCTGTGGTTTTGGAAGTTTGTCTGTGAGTTTGGGTCTAGTGTTAAGCTTTATGCACTCCTTTGGAGTTGTGTTAAGTAGTGATTTTTCTTTAATGTCGTTAACAAAAAAGAAAAGCTCATGCTCATAAAGTGAGTTTAAATGCCATGTTTATAAATCCATGATTCCTGTTACGGCCACATATGTATGTTTATTCCTGAAAGAATTATTTGTGGTGTTTTTTTAACCTAAAATAAGTAACTTGATGAGCACTGCTAGAAATTAGTTATTCAGATGGATGTTTTTGTAAACTAAAAGGATGAAACCTACAAAAAAAAAAGCCAGCCTTCCCAAGAAAGACAGCAGAATGAGAGCTGAGGCGTCCGACCCAGGAGCGGACCCGGTCCTGCCATGGCTCTCAGGGTGGGCCCTGGCACGTCACCTGCGTGAGCCTCGCCCCCCGCGCGTGAGGGGCCTGCCTCGCAGCTCTGTGTGCACCAAGTGAGAATGTGGTGGGGGAGTAGTGAGTGTTGGTTTTATAGTTCTGATCACTCAAGAGAATGAGTATATATTTCCTGAAAAAATTAAAAAAATAAGTAGTGCGTGTTGTCCCTTTAACTTTGCTATTGTTGTTGTTGATGTACCAGAAAACTGGCAGCAATGCTGAAGTTGGAATTATTTTAGAGCTCCAAGTAATGCTATAAAAGGCGCTTCTTTCTGTAGCCTCACCATATCAAAGAAATCAAGATTTTTTTTTAAAAAACAGATGATTGTTGAGGGTTAATTTTATTCACAAATCTTGTTTCCCCAGCTGGACGCTATAAGCAGAGTACGGGAAGTCAAAGAGTAAAATGTTCTCTGACAGCAGTCTCTAGGTACCCTCAGCGCTGGGGCGTCCTGGTATTGCGTGTTCCTGTAAAGTCTTTGCTTCACAGGGTCACCCTCTTGGACGTCCTAATAGCCAAGCTGGCGAGCGAGGAGCCTCTGACCAAGGATGAAACGACTGCACTGCTGGGCCACGCCGAGCTCGTGGCCAGCACCTTCGTGGACCAGTGCCGGGTGGTGCTGAAGCTGACTGACGGGCAGCATGACGACGACGAGGTGAGAGCCAGGTCCCCGAGGAGAATCTTCCCTCCCCGGTCCCCGAGGAGAATCTTCCACGGCTTTTAAAAGAGATCACATAAGTCACAGTCCTCCCCCTTCACAGGTTGGAAACCTAATGACAGAGTTGATAGTGTCAGGAGGTGGGGCTTTGGCACATGATCATGTCATGATCATGTCTAATGGATAGGGTTAGTGCCCAGAAAGACCCCTCGCCCCTCCCACCACATGAGGGCATAGCAGGAAGCCGGCAGTCTGCAGCCCGCAAGACTTCCTCCCCAAACCAGCCATGCCAGCACCTGACCTTGGACGTACACTGTCCAGGACTGTGAGGAATAAATTTCTAGTGGCCCGGTGCACGGATTTGTGCACATTGAAAGGAAATTAATTAGAATTCTTGGGGCAGCGCTGAGGCTTGAAGGGCATCTGCGTAGGGTGAGGGGGGAGGAGAAAAAACACTCACGCTCGGGTCTCTGGCTTCGGTGCTGGCTCCAGCGCAGGGACTAATGAAGCTGCCCTAGGTGGTGGCCGCAGGGCAGGACTGGGCAATCTCCCGGGGCCCCTCCCGGCCAGCCTCACCTGGGGCAGCTCAAAGGTCATCTGTGGAGTGAGCGGGGTCCCTCTGGCAGGTGGGGTTTCTCGGCCTGGCCTGCGGGGATCGGGCCAAAACCAGTTCTCCTCTGACATCCCCCAAGGGGTCTCGGAGTGCGAGAGGGCACTCTGCAAAGTTGCTGTCGTACAGGGTGTGGAACGCAAACACAAGTGAGTAGTAATCCAGATCTGGCCGATAGTGCCCCCCAAACAACATAACCCATAGCCGACGGTGGAATCACGTGGCCCCAAGAGGAATCGGGCTCCCTCCTCTCTGGTTCCCGGGGTGCGTCACCCGAGAACTGCTACTACCAAGTCACCGCAGCTCGGCAGCTCCTGTACTGAGTGTCTGTCCTTTGGTGATCAGTGCACGTTATAGGAACCAGCCGGTCGAACAGTCACTTAGCCTTTTATATATATAGATTATGCTGTTTTTGTTAGAGCAGTTTAAATAGACTAAAACTGCATCCTTATTTTAGAACAGTAAAGAAAATACAGATAAGGCAAAACAATATCCTTATTCACAATCATTCAGAGTTAATGACAACAGTTCCAGTTAATATATTTATCTAAGCTGATAAATATATTAACATCAAATAGACACATGCTTATGTACACATGTGTACACACAAACATTAAAAATGAAATGATTCTGTGCCATCTTTTTGTAAATTCCTGTTTCTTCTGAATGTAAGCTCCATGCGTACGGAAGTTTTGGCTAAGCTTGCAGTACTATGTACATAGTGGGCATTTAGCAAATGTTTTCTGAATGAACAGTACTTTGTTAATGGCTTTTTAAGTGCCAGTGTAGCACGCTCAGTAAAGAATTTATCAGCATTTACGTGTCCCCAGCTACGGGGAGTTGACGTTGAGGGGTCCCTGTGTACGCTGGTTGTAGGAGAGCTATAGACTGTCCCTGCAGCAGCATCTTTGCACACCTCCGTGCTCGTTAACCCGGGCGCAGCCCCGGACAGAGTGGGCTGCTGGGCGGAAGCGGTTACCCGTGTTGAAACTTTGGGTGCACGTTTGTAAACTGCCTACCAGAGCGTGTTTCTTTGGCACGGCAGGAGGCTCCTGTTCACCACCACCTGGTTGGCTCCGGGAGGCATTTCCACTCTCCAAGCCTCTACCTACGTCCTTCCCGGCTTTCCTTTGCTTGGCTAGCTCACGCTGATTCTGGTTCCCTCCTCTCTGCTTTAGAAAATCTCTTTATTTTTATCTATTCTTTTCCCCTGAGAAAGCCAGTGTGAGCGGTGCCATTTGGTGGATGGGGGGGGGAGCACTGCTCTCCCGGGCCGCCTGTCCCTCCTGGAGACAGAGCTGCCTGTCTCCAGCGGGAGGAGCACTCCAGCGGGAGGAGCAGCTCCAGCGGGAGGAGGAGCTCCAGCGGGAGGAGCAGCTCCAGCGGGAGGAGCAGCTCCAGCGGGAGGAGGAGCTCCAGCGGGAGGAGCAGCTCCAGCGGGAGGAGCAACGAGCTGAGCTTCTAGGCGGTTAGAGAATCTCCAGGACGGAAGAGGGAAGCTCAGTGCTTGTTACAGCTCAGCTCTAAAGAGCTTTCCTGGCTCTTTATTTGTAGTGTAGATGAGTTCATATTGTAATCAGTGACCTGAGGTAACTGTATTTAGGAAGTTTTACATTTTCCTCCAAAGAGGTTTTTCTCTGAAGTGGGAGAAATTATTATATATTAACACGCTAAATGCCAGCTTGTGTTGTCTCCTGGACGGAAAGTGTCAGTCACCGGTGACTGACAGGCCACTTAATGTGTTAACTGATAGAAAACTGTAGACAGTTTCGTTTGAAAAGCCTCAATAGTTCACTTTTTGGTAATGTATTGGTCCATTTACATGCATGACTTGTGCATATTAGTGTACATATAGTAACCTTTCACTTACAAGTTTAAAAAGCTATGGTCGTTGTTAACAAGACCCCCTGCCTTAGAGTTTAAACACACCGGAGTGCTGGTGTGGCTGCCGCCGATGCCTGAGGGTCAGGGTTTGTGAGCTGATGGGTAGCTTGTGAGCGGCCTTCATGGAGTATCTATAGCGTGGGAATCGGCCAGTTTCCCAGCAGACCACTGCCTTTACCCACCTGTGATAGCTAAGAATGAGATAACCAGTAACTGCTCATATACTATGTTTGAAAAATAGGAATGAAGCAGTCATATATATATATATATATATATATATATATATGTGTGTGTGTGTGTGTGTGTGTGTGTGTGTGTATATATATATATATATATATATATATATATATATATATGACTGCTTCATTAGAAACATCGATGAGAGAGAGTCATCTATCAGCTGCCTCTTGCACACCCCCTACCAGGGATATGCCCACAACCAAGGTAAGTGCCCTTGACCGGAATCGAACCCGGGATCTTTCAGTTCCCAAGCCAACGCTCTATCCATTGAGCCAAACCGGTTTCCGCAAGAAGCAGTCATTTTTAATAGCATCTGGTTTTTAATTTATGTATTCGTTTGGCTTTAAGATCCCGAGATTTTATCCATATCTCTTCCTTTCTAAAAATAGTCTTAGATTATGGTGTTAATATACCTGTTTCTGTCTTTTGGTGTATTTTTGCATACTTCCGAGGTATATGCCCTTAACCAGGAATTGAACCCGAGACCCTTTGGTCCTTGGGCCTGCACTCTAACCACTGAGCAACTGGCTAGGGCCATCAGTTAATTTTATATGCATCTCTAACAGATAAGGAGTCTTCACTCATAAGTGAAGTACAATGAGCACATTTAAAAATGTTAAATTTTAGTATCAAACAGTACTTACATTATCCCCCTTGTCTATTTTCCCCCAAAATTTATGTCTTTGAATTGGGATACAGATAAGGGCCCTCATACATTGCAGTAGGTCTCAAACCTCCTTTCCTGTGCAGGTTACCCCACCCCATCCCTCTTCCTCCTTTCTCCTGTGCTCGTTGTTTGTTGGAGACATTGGCTTGTGTGACCTGTGGCATTTTCTGCAGTTTGGATTTGGATGAGTGGATCTCCATGGTGGTGGTTAATGTGGCCTTTTGTTCTTTGAATTTCTTGTGAATGATAATTAGCTCCAAACGCTTATTCAGATTCCGGTTCGTTTTTTGTTGTGATTTTTTTTTTTTTTTTAGTTGCGTTTCATCGTTGGTGACACGTTCATTCATCAAGAGGCTCCTAATGTCTGGTTGTCTCTTGTGATGTTAGCCAGTGTTAATGATTGTTACCTAGCTCCATCGGTAGATAGGGGCTGGGAAATAGCACTCACTTCTCATTTGTCAGCTATAGTATTTTCTAAAGATGTCTCTCCCTAATCAGCGAGTAGGTGACCAGTGTACAAGATACATTTCATTTCCCCTCCTTGATTATCAATATTCAGAGTCAGGAGCTGGTTTTGTGATGCCACCTAGTGATGACATGTGCCTTGTTTTGCTTTCAATATTATGCAGTCTCTAGAGGCCTGGTGCCCAAATTCAGGCTTGGGTGGGGTCCGGCCAGCCCTCCCTGATGGGGGCCCATTGGGCCATGCTGGTGGGGGAGGGGCTGTGGGCAGTTGGCCGGCCAGTCCCGTCCCTGATCAGGGTGTTGGGGGCCCATCGGGAGCAAGGTTGGCTGGGGTTGGGGGCCGATCGGGGTCTGGATCAGGCTGTGCACATCATAGCCACCAGTCGTTCTGGTCTTTCTGGTTGTTCGGCCGTTCAGGTCGCTGGGCTTTTATATATATAGATGGCTTTATGCTCACTTGATTGGTTCTCCATTATCTCAGCATGGTTCTTTCCCATGTTCTAATGTCTGCTTGCTGCCAGGGCCTCTCGGGTCGCTCTGGTTTCTCCTGACCTGATCCTAGTAGTTTCATTAGCACCTCTGCCACCCGGTGTTGCGGATGTCCTGGGTTACCCTGTATGAATCTGCCCCGCACCCGGCACCAAGCAGCCATTTCTTGAAGGAGAAAGGGTATTGGGAGATGACTGTGGGCACCTACGCACTTAACAAAGAGGGAGCTGAAGCCATGCAGTTAACGGATTTGCTGGAGTCTTTTAAACGTGGTGTAATGTCAAACTTCTTATCTAAGTATTACCCCCTAACTTTTTAACTAGCAATTGAAGCTATGAAATCAAATTAAAATGCAAGCATTAAAAATGTGTGTTGTTTCTTGCTGTTTATGTTGAGATTGCAACCCAAATAATATTTTAAATCTCTGAATTACAGAATAGTAAATGCAATTAGAATTAACAAAAGAAGACATTTAATTTTTTTTAAGAATATTATCTTGCCGAAGCCGGTTTGGCTCAGTGGTAGAGCGTTGGTCTGCGGTCTGAAAGGTCCCAGGTTCGATTCCGGTCAAGGGCATGTACATTGGCTGCGGGCACATCCCTGGTAGGGAGTGTGCAGGAGGCAGCTGGTCGATGTTTCTCTCTCATCAACGTTTCTGGCTCTCTCTCTCTCTCCCTTCCTCTTCTCTGTAAAAATATCAATAAAATATTTTTTTAAAAAAAGAATATTATCTTTATGACCTAAATTTATAGCATCTACTACATTTTGCCAACTAATGTACACTTTAAAAATGAGGCTCAAAATCTATACAAAAATTGCATTTTAAGATTTTGTCCCCGTTGTTGTGGCTCAGTGGTTGAACGTCGACCTATGAACCAGGAGTCATGGTTTGATTCTCAGTCATGACACATGTCTGGATTGCCGCCTTGATCCCTAGTGTAGGGCATGTAAGAGGCAGCCAATTAATGAGTCTTTCTCACCATTGATGTTTCTATCTCTTCCTCTCCCTCTCTCTCTGAAAGCAATAGAAATATATGTATATATTTTTAAAGATTTTATTTGACTCTCTAGTACAGTGTCATTGGTAGTTGGTATTTTCTTGGGCATGTAGTCTATTTGGCAATCAACTCTTCAGTAGCTATGTGAACTAGCATTTCCAAATGATAAATTGCAGCTTACCAAGATATTGTATATAGGTCTATATTTATCCAGAAATAATGCAGATTCTTGTTGCCAATGCTCTTTCCACCACAGCGTTTTATAGGATTCCTGTGGACAAGAAATTAATGTAGTTCATGGTATATTTGCATCTGTAAAGTAGAACTCTTGCTGGGAACGCTTTAAAAAGAAAGGATCTGCATTAATGTTCTGTACATAGCTATAATTTTGAACAGTCACCACTGCTGGAAGGGTTTTTTTTTTTTAAAATATATTTTTATTGATTTTTTACAGAGAGGAAGGGAGAGGGATAGAGAGCTAGAAACATCGATGAGGGAGAATCATCGACCAGCTGCCTCCTGCACACCCCCCACCGGGGATGTGCCCGCAACCAATGTACATGCCCTTGACCGGAATCAAACCCGGGACCTTTCAGTCTGCAGGCCGATGCTCTATCCACTGAGCCAAACCGGTCTTGGCTGGAAGGGATTTTTGCTTGGATCAGAGCTGCTCTGGTTCTTTGCTCCAATAAGACACAGGATCTTGCTTTCTCGATGGCCGTGTCTGCTAGCGCAGCCGGTTGTTCGCGTCCGTTTCTGATGCTTCGCTTTTGGTTTTGATAGTTGTTTCTCTCTTTCGATGTGTGAGAAGCACTGACTTCAATACTTACGGTGAGAGCTCATTCTCTCACAGCTGGTCAAAGCGGTCAGATCACTTAGCCTGACTTAGACGTGTGTTTCCTCCTCTCCTCCGAGGCCCTCGCTACAATCCGGCTCCTTGACGTCCTGTGTGAGATGACGGCCAACACTGACCTGCTCGGCTACCTGCAGGGCTACCCCGGCTTGCTGGACAGAGCCGTTGGTGAGTGAGCCAGCGCACGCCGCTGTTTTTAATCGAGAAATCTCTCACTTTCATACTCTCATGTAAGTTCAAACACGGGTCTGTAAATTTCAGGGCATTGTTATATTTCTGAGATTTGAGGGGCTATTTTTTCTAGAGGGATATCTTTGGTGACAGCTCAGGCTGTTGCCCCTGCCCTGCTGTGTAACTCAGGCTGCCTCAGCAGCTTGTGAGGTCCAGTGCCTGCCGCAGTGCTCCGGGGGGTTTCATTGCCAGGGCCTGCAATGATGAGGGGCGCGGTTTTGATGATGATAGCATTTTCAATATCACTGTAGTTTTACCAAATCTGTTTTTAAAAATTTTCCTAGTTACATGTTATGGGGCGTGAAGAATAGTGCCTTACACATAGTTACTGTGTCTTTGATGTGATAGAAAACTAGAGACCCAGTGCACGAAATACCTACACTGGTAGGGTCCCTAGCGGCTGCCCGGGTACTCCCTCCTTCCCCTGGCTGCCTGCCATCACAGCTGCTGGTCGGGGCCTCCCTCCCTTCCCCGGCCAGCCCCACCCCTGGGCGAGGGGACAATCTGCATACTGTGCTTTTATTATATAGGATTGTTTTTAAGCAAGAAGCCAGTGTGTGAAATGTTACCTTCTTTGCCAAAAAACTGTTTGCGGAATAATTCCAGTGGAGCCTGCTCCTGTGGTCAACCATGCTTCTGCTGCCATTCCCTGGCTGCTGCGTGTTTCTTTAGAAAAGGTGGTAATTATTCTGGAAACTCAAATGCCGAGAGAGATGAATTTGGATCTAGATGGGTAACGAGCTCTTAGGGAGCTGTTTTCAATAGCTAGAATCTCACATCGGTGTTTTATTTTTGAATAAATTGCTTTTCGTGATCATCAAAACACCACAGACCCGGGCAGCGAGTCATTGTGGAAGAGCATGCATTTGGAGTCAGGGCACGCACAGGCTGCCATCTCAGCTCTGAAATTACTTCTCTCAGCCTGATACCATCTTATGAATTGGGAGAGAGACAACTAACTGCCTTTAACAGGCTGGCTGAGCGGGTTAAATGAGATAATGTGCCAACACTCAAATACAGCTTCTTTTCTAGGCTCTTACGGTGTCTCTACAGTCCAACAGCATTAGTCAGCTCTTCTCATGTAGCCACACAGCACCTGGAGAGCACGTGCCACCTCTGATCGCCTGGCCAGAGGACACCATGCTCCCGGCTGTGTGGTGTGGCTCCTCACAGACAGCTGGTGTGCAAACTCAGCTGTCCGTGGCCTCAACCGTTCTTACACAGGAAGCTGAGTTTGGACACCTCTTTCTGAACAAGATGGTGGGAATGAGCAGCTAACTTTTCCTTGTGGATAAATGGAAAGCCAAGTTGGGCTCGTCATGATGGCTTCTGTCTCCAAAGCCAGTCATGAAAAATGTAGAGCAAATCTAGAAGAGCCTTTTAATAATTATTTAAAAGCAGCTTTCAGCACTCTTACCTGCATTTGATTTTAATCCATCAACATAAATTAGATTCGTTTGTGGGAAACTGGTACAACCTACTGGAAGTTTTCCTGTGGCAAATGAAGTTTGTTGTTTTCCTCATAGATCTCTTACGGTTGATCCACGTAACTGCCAGCGACACCACCAACATCTTCAGCACCTGTGCCAGCATCAGAGCGGACGGGGACGTCGCCAACATGGTTGAGGGCTTTCGGTCTCATCTCATCCGTCTGATAGGAAACATGTGTTACAAGAACAAAGATAACCAAGACAAGGTAAGACTGTTCCTTACTGTGCACCAGACATATGTGACTTGGTTTAGAATGTAATGTTTAAAATCAGAAAATAATCACTTTTTTTGGCGAGAAAGCTTACAGCGCTTAGAAAGTAGCTTGAATTATGTGTTTTTGTGTATATATATATTCCCACAGATAAACATCAAAGGCCATAATTACTTGTATTAGGGTTTGTATTTTTGTAACTTGCATTGTATTTGTCCTTAGTGTGTTTGAGTCAGTCTCCTTTCTTATAAATTTTGATCTTTGTCCTTTGCCTATGCATTTAAACAAACTAATGTCCTTAGCCAATAGTCAATAAAAGCAGGTATTTAAAAGCCTAGAAGCGGTCAAACACATAGTAGACACAGTAAACATTAGTTATTTTTTAATCCTTAGCCGAGGATATGATTAGAGAGAGAACGGGAGGGAGAGAGACACTGATCAGTTGCCTTCCATATGCTCCCCGGCTAGGGATCAGACCTGCTGCCCAGGCATGTGCCTTAACCGGGAATCGAACTGGTAGCCTCTCAGTGCATGGGACGATGTTCAACCACTGAGCTGCGCTGGCCAGGCAGCGGCAGTTACTGACATTATCTTAAGAAAAACAGATACATTTTAATTTGTATCTGTGCCCTACGTTTTGGATTATACAACATAAGCATTTCTTCTAGGAGTTTTGAAATGGATATAATATTAATTCTTTGGAAACTCAGGAGATTGCATTAGAAACCTATTTTGTGCTGAATAATTTAGAGGTAATCATATCAATAATATGAGAAGGCGATAAAGAACGACGGCAGGAGAATTAGACCGCAGGCTTCATGTTGAACTACTGCCTGTATCTTCCTCACACTTTGCTTCATCAAATGATGAACATGTGTGTGGCAGATTCCGCTTTTCTAGCATGGCCACACGAACACCTATCATCTGCTGTTTGCCGCTGCCCATCCTCTTGGATTTGGAGGACTAGAGTTCTCTGACCACTTTGAACAACAAAATGTGGTAGGGGTGGTCCAGGGCCACCTCGGTGATGGCGCACACTGCCTGGGGGCCCGCTGCCTGCCTCACAGACGCCGTCACCATGTCAGAGCGGACTCCCTGCGCTCACCGTGCTGAGCGGAGGAGAGGCAGTATGGGGACAGAGAGACCCGTTCAGGAACGAGGCATGAGACATGTGAGACACCGGTTCGGAAGTCACTGACCTCGGTGTCCTGGTGCCAGCGGATGCCCGGGAACCAGGAGAGCCTGCCCAGCAAGTTCTTCCTGAGTGCCCCGCCCACAACGTTGTGAGAAAAGGGGGAAAATCGGGCAGGGAATTAAGTTGTAAGCTCTGCTTTTGTAATGGCCCTGTATAATAATTATAAACTCTGGGCAAAGACAGCTTCATGAAGACACTCAAAGTTGACCCAAATAGCGGATTCTGAGTTGAATTGAGGCGGAAGAAGGCACAGTGTGAGAGTGTGTGTGTGTGTGTGTGTGTGTGTGTGTGTGTGTGGTGCAGGGCAATTAGAACTCTGATGGGAATCTCTAGACCTTTTGCTTAAAGAATGAAGGACAGTGTGAAGCAGCCACAGCGTTGGAAGGTGAGGGAGGTATTCCTGGGAAGGATAAATAAAGCAAGCCCCAGTTCTCCGTGCTGACGGCTACACCCCTGCTGATGCGGAATCACTCGTGTGGGCCAGGCATCACGCAGCTAAGCGAAGGATGGAATAATTGTATTGAGATTTGAACGGCCATCCTAAAGAATTTACAGTTAAGGTCCAACTGAGATAACTGCCTGCTAAAACAAGCATAACCGTGTTTTAGAGCACTAGAATGCTGAGTTTCCACAACATAGCACTTGCAGTGTCCAGGATCCAGACTCATTAACACACTGGGAAATTCTCAAGAGAAAAAGATAATTAACAGAGATTGACTGATAACACAAATGCTAGGTTTAGCAGACAAGGAATTTAAAGCATTTATAACCATGTTCAATGATTAAAGGAAAATAACCTTTTAATGCAGGGAAAGATAGTATGATTCAAAGAAATAGAAACTATAAAAATATGAACCAATTGGAAATTCTAAAACTGAAAAATATAGTATCCAAACTAAAATTTAAAAATGTTTACTGAATATGCTTAACAACTCAATAGAGATGACAGAGTAAAAGAGTCTGGCCATAGCTAGTTTGGTTCAGTGGATAGAGCATTGATCCATGACTGAAAGGTCCTGGGTTCGATTCCTGTGAAGGGCATATACCTCCGTTGCAGGCTCAAATCCTTGACCCTGGTTGGGGCTCATGCGGGAGGCAACCAGTCACTGTCTGTCTCTCACATTGATGTTTCTCTCTTTCTCTCCTTCTCCCTTCCAATCTCTAAAAAATCAATGGAAAATATCCTCAGGTAAGGATTAACAACAACAACAACAACAGTTAGTGTACGTGCAGATAGATCAGTAGAAATCATCTAGTCTAAAGAACAGAGGAGAGAAAGATTGAAAATAAAATTTTTTTTTTAAAATATATTTTATTGATTTTATACAGAGAGGAAGGGAGAGAGATAGAGAGTTAGAAACATCGATGAGAGAGAGTCATCGATCAGCTGCCTCTTGCACACCCCCTACTGGGGATATGCCCGCAACCAAGGTACATGCCCTTGACCGGAATCGAACCCAGGACCCTTCAGTCCCCAAGCCAATGCTCTATCCATTGAGCCAAACCGGTCCCGGCTGAAAATAAAATCTTGATGTTAAGATGCTTAACTTGGGGGCAGTGTGTGCAGCATTTGATAACTAGAGTAATTTCCTACAGCACATGGCACAGAACCCAGTGCCTGGCAACCTGCTTTTCACTGTGTGTGTACACAGTTTCCACTCCTCCTCACCTTCAGCAGGTCTGAGTGGAAGACCACTAATCCTCCTTGGAAAATCACCGGGCTGGTGTTTGTAAGAGAAAGTGCACACAGAATAGAACTCTTTACCTCCTTAATGACCAAGACTTTCTTTCTCGAAGCACAAAGGAGGCGCTTTTTCTCGTGTTTGGCTGTTCTTTTGTTGCTCTCTGGATGGCTCTTATGGGAATAAATGCAGTTACCCTTCAAAGGCTTGTGGAGTGACTCACAGGCTTGCGCCCTGAGCAAACAGGGAGTGTGCCCGCGGCTGCCCCGCGAGGTCGCGGCGCCCAGGAAGACCCGGTGCTCCTTCCGCGGCGGTTGCTAATGGCTCTGTGAGTTCTGAGCAAACACTCAGCGGTGAAGGAGCTCCTCTGAGGAGAGGAATGCCTGTCTCCCCTTTCCTACCTGAGCGACAAGGCCTTCGGCTGAGAGCATGCCCTTGGGGGTTTTCCTCCTTCCAGAGAGTCAGACAGCGACAGCGGCAGTCTTTTCTGATCGCCTGGAGCTGCTTTGTTCTCGCATCAGATCCTGATCTCAGCGCGTGCTGCAAGTGTTGGCTCTGCCCAAAGGAAGGAGCTCACTGCACCCGGTGCCTTTGGTTCTGATTTTGGAGAAACGGTGATGGCATAGCCCAGTGGTCGGCAAACTGGCTTGTGAACCTCCGTTTGCTACTCTGTTGCCTAATGAGTTTGCCGACCACTGGCATAGCCTGTCTACTCATTCTCATTGGATCGCCTGCAGGGAGGGTCCCGCTCCTGCCCACAGAGGCCCTAAGGGAGCGGAGCCCTGTCTGCTCTGAGACTAAGATGTGAGCGAGGGGTTGTGCCATCTCATTTAGCTCCTTCACCCAGAGGAGACGGCCGAGGGCCTGTCAGTGCCCTGCGTCCCTGCTGTGCTCGCTGAGTGACGGGGTTTGTCTTGAGGCTTCACAGTTGGCCCTGCGAGCAGCTTCTCCCCGCACTCGGAGCCGTTCGGCCCGGGAGCGTGACTGCGCCTGCTCCCCGCCCGGCCCATGGCCGCTTGTTGGGGAGCTTCCGGGAGGACTTCCTCACGGACCTCAGGCTGACCGTGCTGAGTGGTGTGCATGGCCCCCAGGCCCGCCCGGCCTCTCCAGTCCTGTCTCGGTCAGGGCTGCGCTCTGGTGAGAACACATCTATGCACGTCTCTGTCCTGGTTCCTCCCTCTTCGCAGGGCCGTTCCCAGCGTGGGGGCCTTTGCTGGATGGGGCGGGCGGGCGTCTCCATCAGGAGCCTGTCACTGCAGGAGCATCTAGACGCCACCCTGGCCTCTGAACTGGAATTCCTGCATTATCTATGACACATTACTTGATTGCTCTGTGGTTTGGTCGGGAATCCGTTAAGCCCAGCGCGGTCTCTGTGCTGGACGTTCATTAATTGCACAGAGAGTGGTGCCCACCTGAGAGCACCCTGTCATTCAGCACTTAGTCCATTGGAGCCCTGGGGCCGCCCTGGACCAGGCCGGGAGGGTAACCATTACCCTCTTTAAAGGAAGACACCAGACGGGGCGATGTGACTCAGCTGCCGGCCATTGAGTGGCAGCTGCTTCGGGAGCCTGCTCCGCAGCGGACCGCCCGCAGTGAGCTCCCACAGGAGTGCGAGCGGCTCTGACATCACCTGTCAGGCCGGAGCAGGTGAGCGACGCCTCCCCTGCTGGCTGTGCCAGGAGCAGCCCTCCGCGTGAGCGGGCTCCGGAGCTCCACGGGCCTGGAAGGCGTGCCCTGCCTGTGTTTGTGCCCTCGGGCTGTCCTCCAGGGCGTGGGGGTGCGGCACCCAGATGGAGGGAGCTGGGCTGTGGTCTCCCCGGCTTCCCCATGAGCTTGGAGGTCGGCACACGGTGGGCTGGGTCGTCCTGAGGTGTAAGCCCGGCTGGTGCCGGAGTCCCGCAGGCAGGTGCTCCCTCTGACTCTGCTCCTCTGTGCTGGGCTCCACTCCCGCGCATCTCCTTGGCCATCTGCGGGACCAGCTTTCCTTAAAGCTCACCCTGTGGCGGGAATGGAGAGCCTGACGGGTTTCTGTGGGAGAGGCGGGGGGCGGGGGTTAGAATAGGAACGTATGGTTGCTCTTTCCTTCCCCATGCTACTTTCTTTGCTGTTGTCATAGA